CTGGAACACCACAAACAGGAGTCTCACCTTCAGGATGATCAAGTTACCCCACTAAGCCTTCTCGTGCCTCTTCCACTGTGTTTGGAATAGAAAGAAACCCAGCTGTCTCTAAGGATAAAAATGAAAACAAACATAAAAATAAACTACTCTTTCACCGCCAAGAGTGGGGGAGATTGGCCGTTTTTTAATATTAGAAATTTAAAACAGATGGTGAGCTAATTTATATTTTCATCTTGACATTTACCTACTCAGAGGGAGTGCAATTAAGCCATATTTTAAGCTCATCATAGCCTTTATCTGGAAATGTTGCCACGGTATCTGTCAATTATGCTGGCCACCGATCAGCAGAGTCTAAGGACCCAGGAATCTTGCTCTCCCCTAGACCACCCTAATCCAGGGTCTCTTGGGAAGGAACCTCTGCACACCAACCTGCAGCTCCTGCGTCCCTGCCTCCCACCCTGCGCCTCTCAGGCTGTTTCCCAGAGAGCTGGCAGGGGTCTTCCTTCCACGCAGGTGGACCTTGCCAGCCCCTGTTTGATGTCAGCCTCTCCCTGACTGCACGTGACCTTCGGGACAAAGTCACGGCTCTGGGGTTAACAGTTTGCCGAGTCCCTTCAGGACCTGGCCTGTTGGCTGCTCCCTGCCTCTGGCCTGGCCTGGCCTTGCTGTGTGCGCTTGCCCAAGTCACACTGAGCCATGCTTCACCGCAAGGTGTGCCTCTCACCCAGCATTGGCACCTACTGCCCACTATGCCTGGAGACTGCTGGCCTTCACCTGGCCTAAGCCCCCCTCTCACTTCCACTTCGGGATTCAGCTGCACCCCAGCCACATGCTTTGGCCTTGCTGTGGTAAAACATGACCAGACAGCTTTCTCGAGAACACACAGAGTGTGGCGGCCGCCCTGTGGTTCTTACGGGGCCTGCAGTTCTCAGGGTTCTTTTGTTTTGTTTTTGGTACTGAGATTGAACCCGGGACACTTAACCCTCAGCCTTTTTTATATTTTATTTAGAGACAGGGTCTTGCTGAGTTCTGAGGCTGGCTTTGAACTCATGATCCTCCTGCCTCAGCCTCCTGAGCTGCTGGGATTACAGGCGTGCTCTACCGCACCCAGCCAGCTTTCAGTTTTACGGAATATATTCTATCGAACATGGTTTCTGACGTTGTTGGTGAAAACACGAATTAAAATGCTGCACCAGCCTTCCTCCTGCCTAAATTGTAGAAAAAAAAAAAAAATCTAACCACAGTGATGAATCTTTTCCTGGGTGATGGAATTTTCCATTGATGTGTCACTGACTCTGGCCATATCCACATGTCCTGTTGTCCCACCCTGTCACTCCACTCTTGAAACAGCAATCTCCTAAACTTGTAAGTGCTCTATTTCCATTTTATTTGCCCTGTGATTGAACAAATTATAATCTCTGAACTGCCTCTTGGACACTACTGAGTTGTGATCTCAATTTTAGAGGAGGTGTTGGCAGCAGCAGAGGATATGAAGGTATTATGAGATCCACGTAAGATTTCATGGTGTTTTCAGTTCCAGGGTCTTCCTGGTTTGGAAAATACAAGAGGAAAGAGAATTAATCCTTCGTTCTCAAGAAGGATGAGCTCCAGGGCAGCGACTCCACATGGAGCTGGATAGCCCTCCCCTGCCCCAGCCACACCCTGTGCTCCTCTGGACAGCCCCCTGGGGCTGGCAGGAGCAGCAGGGTGGTCTGGCTGGGCCTGCATGCAGCCTGCGGTGCCAGCCACTGGGGACATGCCCATCCACTCCACCTCTCCGTTTTCTCCTTGTCACTTGCCTAGGACAGCTTTATGGGCCTCACAGTTGGATGTTTTCTAGGGCACTGTTCCCTTCCCCTTTCAGACTTTAATTTTAGCAAATTGGCTGAATTTCACTCTTCTTGAAGTGAAAGCTCTTGTCATCACTGCCCCCACCTCGGTCCTCTTATGTAATTGCACCTGTCATTCATGTCAACGATTCTCTGACCTCGTCGTTTGCTGCTACCCATAGTATTCTTTTATTTATTCTAATAAAATATATTCCTTCTTGTGGTTTTCTTTATCCTAACTCACTAAAAGCCATAACTCTGATCACTTCAACACATTTTTTCCATTTTCTTTTTGTCAGTGCATTATAGTTGCACATAACGGTGGCATTTGCTGTTACATATTCATACATGCACACAATGTAACAATATAATTGGGCCAATATCCCTCCCCAACATCCCTTTGCCCCTCCTCCCTCCCCTGTCCTTTTCCTCCACTCTTCTGATCTCCCTCCATTTTACCTGAGATTCCTGCCTCACCTTTCTTTCCTTTTTCTATTTCAGAGAAAACATATGACCCTTGAGTTTCTGAGTTTGGCTTATTTTGCTTAACATAGTGTTCTCAAGTTCCATCCATTTTCCTGCAAATAACATAATTTCATTTTTCTTTGTGGCTGAATAAAACTCCTTGGTGTGTATATACCACATTTTCCTTATCTAGTCATCCATTGACCAGTTTGGCTGTTGTGATTTGTGTTGCTGTAAACCTGGGAATGTAGGTATCCCTGCAGAATGCTGACTTTAGTCATTCAGGATGGATACCAAGGAGCGGCGTAGCTGGCCATATGGTAGTTCCAATCCTAGTCTTTCAGGGAACTTCCACACTGGTTTCTATAGAAGCTGTACTAATTTTCAGTCCTACCAACGGTGTAAACACTTGAACACGTTTTGCCAGCTTGTTCCAATAGAAGATAAGAAGCATGAGGCACCTGGAGTGTTTCTCTTTAAACTTAAAAAAAAAAAAAATTAGATCAACATAGTTTCAAACACTTGGACAAAAGAAAAAGAAATGTCTTACATTTATTCCTTCAAGGGAACAAAGTGGACCCTGCCTGCTTGATACAATGAATCAGACAACTAATTTGGGCCCCTGCAGGCAGTGTGAAGCAGCGCTCTGGGGCCAGGCAGCGCTCCACCACTTCAGATCTGGGGTACTCTCGGGGGGTTGCAAAGCCAGTCTGAGCTGCATTGCCTTTCTTTGGCAAATGTAAGTGTTGGGAGCAGTAAATAAAATGACAGCTGACAGCAGCGTATTCATCTTGTCCACCCCTTCCCTGCCTTTCAACAGTATTTCAGGTACAGTGAGTGAAAGCCAGGTAGTAAAGCCACATGCACCAGTGGTCTCTGGTTCTTCCAAAAATAAAAAAGAGCAATAACTGGAAACAAGTGATTAGCCCATGATTTTTTTTAAGCCCATGATTTTGAGAAAGTACATGAAGACATGAATCACATTTATTTGTAAATTCTATATGCAAGTGCAGAGACATGCCACTAATTTTATAGAAAACTGCTGTGCTCATCTGGAATTGCTCCATGTTCTTCTATTCTGATTACCAAATTTGGAGTTGAGTAGACTTCTGTCCATAATCACAGAAACTCTGATCCAGGAAGCTGCTGCTCTCCCTGCTGCTCTTGCGTGAGTCCCCCTGACAGCAGGGGAGTTAGCCAACCCCTAGGGAGGATCTTTTTCACCAAGAGTCTGACTTGGAAATGCCTGGACTGCATTCACAAACAAGCTCACCTCCTGGAAATTCATCTGTGTCGATAAATTCTATAGTGCAGTCATTTTAATTGTGCATTTATTAGGACTACTTGGAATTGCTTATTTTCCCATCTCTGTTTTAACATCCTGCAGATGTGAATGTCAGGATACTGGGGAGACACAAGACCTATCTTTACCAGGGCTTTGAAGGAATTTTGATGAACTCCAGAGGTGAAAGATGAGTAACTACTCAACTCGAGATGTAGAATCTCAGGATTTGAAGGAGACTTGCTGTTGTCTAGTGCAGCTACACATTTCAAGCTTGAATGTGGCTGGGTGCATCCTTGCCAAGTGAAATCAACTCTTCCAGATGTCATCCAGACAGCTCTAACTTTCTATTAAAAAGTCTCCTTATTTAAGCTCCAAACTTATACCCTTATGTCCAAACTCTCTTAGGGACATAAAAAGGGACAAAAAAACTTATCGGGCAGCAAACTTCTTGAGGACAAGGACCGTACTATAGTTTGGGTGGTGATATCTCCTAGGGCCTATGTATTAAAGGCTTGGTTCCCAGGGTTGGTACTATTGGGAGGAGGTAGGACCTTTGGGAGATAGGACATTGTGGAAGGTCTTTAGGTCATTGGAGGATGCTCTCAGAAGGTGTGTGGGACTCAACTGGTCCTCCCTTTCTATTTCCTGGCTAATGACTTCAGCTATTTACTCCTCTATGTACTGCTACAGTGATGTACCACCCTTGCTAGAAATCCAAAGCAATAGGCTGATCTTGGATTGAAACCTTCAGAATCATGAGCAAAAATAACCCTTTTCTCTTTATAAGTTAATTATCTCGAGTGTTTTGTTACAGTAACATGAAACTGACCGATATAGACTGTATCCACTACAACTTCTAGTAACTTGATAAATGATTGCTGAGTGGAGTTAAAAACAGAAGATAGTGTTCTTTATTTTGGGATACTACCTTATAGAATGGCAAATTATCTAAATTTAAAATTCATTAAGAAAGTATCATATAAATAACTGATTTTATTGTTTAAATACTATAGCTGATAGATTTTATTCTTTTGACTTAAAATCCAAGCAATTTTATCTATTTGTCTTATGTGCTGCAGCATACCTTCACTGTAATGTCTCTAATGATCTTATGGATTTAACTCTTAGACATCACACTGCAGAACATACTGTCTGAAATCCAAGGCACAGAAGTTGAAAATCTACTACCTGGGTGTTAGAAGGCCTAGGCTCTGTCCCCAGACCCACCACTGCCATCCAAGGGCCACTCAGACTCTAGGTCCCTGACTCTTGGTTGCTCTTCTGCAGATGTCAAGGGTTGGACCAGGTGCTCTCCTAGGGCACTTTGTGGCTGTGCCTGATGTGAGCACAGACCTCTGACTGTGAGCATCACAAGTCTGCGCATGGTCTGAAGCCAGGGCTGCTCTCCCTTCTCTTTTCAGAACACCTTTCTTCAGGAAACCGTGCGCAGAGAGTGTGAAGAGCGCTCTGAGCTGACGCAGGCCCTGAGCCAAGCCCGGGAACAGCTCCTGGCGCTGAGGAAGCTCAGCGGAAGCCTGCCACGACCACTGTGCTCCCTCAGCAGAGGCAGCCCGAACCTCCCTGCCCCAGCCTCTGGCGACCGCAGGGACAGCAGCCGGTCAATCGACCACAGGGACAGCAGCCGTGCAGCACTGCGCGCTGGACGAGGACTCAGAACCCCCAGCGCGCCCAGAGCGTCCAGACGCTCCATCTCCCCACCCGCAGGTAAGCCCAGCAGGGTCGTCAGCTCGAGTGTGCCTGCGCTCCCCCAGCAGCAGCTGCCCAGGTCCCAAGCGTCCTCACAGAGGCTGGCCGCCACTCTTTGGAGGAGGCTGAGTCGGCAGTGACTTGTCCCAAAACAGGAGCTCTGCACAGGGCGCAGGCACCCCTCCAGGGGGCCAGGCTCCACACCCACAGAGGCCAAGATCAAGCATGTCTACGGGAATAGCTAACAGTAGGCTGTCGGAGGACAGAACGCTGTGAAGTCACATTTCCCAAGAGGTCTTTGAAATCACAACCGATAATGAAATTGTTGATACTGCAGAAGGCCAACAGAGAAGCCTGTGTATTTATGTTTAAATGTGCTCTACTTCGGAGGTCACAGGGAACACATTGTCACCCGTAGCATCTTTTCTTTCTTCCTTTTTTTTTTAACACTATTACAAGTAGACATTTTCCCAAAAAATAGATGACATTGGTTTTATTAGTGTGTGTTTGTTGAGCTAAATAGGTTAAATGTATATAGAAGTACTCAGAATAGAGAAAGACAGTATTTTAGTCCTTAATTAGATGATTTCCAAAATATTTAGTTTAGCTGCAGAACCTGTCCTTTACCCTGCAGCCCACTGGTTAGTGGGTTCTGTTCCGGCTGGGTCAGAAGTAATGATGGAAAAACTCCAGGAGAGTCTTCGCTAAGTGGTGGGACTGTCCAGGGCCAGCGATGGCATCTCAACTCCAGAACAGGGAGTTTTCTTTACTTTAAGAAGCCTGGGCCATGAAAATAATCCTGGGTAGAAATTTTCTGCATGTAATGCTGTTGGCACGCAGAGTCAGATTTTGATCAAATGCTTATCCTCCAGCCGTGGAGAACGTTGTGGAGGTGGCTTAGTAAAGGAAACAGAGCGCACTTGGGATTCAAATTCTGTTACCCATGAAAATAGGAACTGGTAACACACTTTCTGTTTTCAGAGTGAAAAAGTAAAACCAGAAGCCAGATGAGCTGTTTTAAGTTATTTTAAGGCTTCAGGCTCCTCCTGGTCTTAAAACATAATTCTTTACCTTTGACTAATATTCATCTATCTTTTTTCCCATATTTTCTTTTTTAAAAAATTAACTTATTTTCCTCTGACTACAGTCCTCCATGGACATCCAAACCTCCTTCTCACATATTAGAATAATAGCAATATGAAATATAGTATAAAATGTCTCCTAGTTGGCTACTCCATTGATGAGAGAATCCAAACGTATTTGGGATCTCTCCCATGTGTATAAAGGGTAGAGTCACCAAGCAAAATCATGTTTATCTCCAGTCTTTCAAAGAATTAGTATGACCTACCAATAGAGTATTTTAAACTTCCCCCCCCCCCCAAAAAAAATCCACATGAGATCCACTAATATCCCCACTTGTTCAAGGACAGCGTTCGTGTTAGAGTTTGATACTAACTTGAGATTGTTGCTCTTGGTAATGGCATTTGACAAGTGAGCACAGCTCACAGGATGGGGGCCCTGGATGGACCAACAGGTCACCCTCACCATCTCTTTAAAATAAGGGGTGGATGCCCAAAGAGCTTGGCACTGCCTAAGGCAGTGCAGCCACTTGGTGATAGAACCGCCTGTCACTGAGCCCAGTCTTTCCACCTCACAAGAGCTTTCCAAGCTTTCACTGTGAGTTATTAGTAGCACCTGTGCATGTATAGTGTTTTTCTTTAAGGGTGCTTACTTTTTTAAACTTAAATTTGCATCAGAAGGAAATTTAATAAGGAAGAATAACCAAAGTAACGAGTTTGGGTTTGATTTGCTAGTTAGATTTTTTTTTTTCCTAAGGAACTTTAAAATAAATTTTTTTATTTCTTAATAGATGTTGTGGTGCATCTCTGATACCACCTTGTGAAATGCCAGGACCATGCTCCATACCTCCTTGACTCTGACCTGTCGTTTGCTTATTTCAATCACAAGTGCTAGTGACATAAGGCAGAGGCAGAAACTGGTGACAGCACTGAGGAGTGCCTGGGGTGGTGGCTTTGTGACCAGGGGCCTTGCGGCTTCAGTCTCGCAGCTGCAGCACCCCTTTCAGGAACTGCAGGGCTACAATGGGTTTCTTCCCTCAATGGTGGCCATATTTGGATTAGTAGACTTACACTTAGCTTTTCTACAGCGAGGTGCAGACTAGCAATTCAAAGCCTGGTTCCTCAGTTTGTTGTCAGGCTCTTGCTTTACAGTGAGTGATTCTGTAACCGAGCACTCTGAGAACAGAATCATGATCTGCAATAAGGTTGTTATGTTCCACTTCTGTATCAGCGAAGTGATTCCATGGCTCAACAAAACACTATTTTCATTTACTTTAACCTTGCTTGACATCTAACACGTGGGCACTCACATTCTGCCTTTCTACCCTGTCATTGTGAATCGGTAAATCTCTCAGAAATCTGGTGGCAAAAGGAAGTCCGTTTCCATTCAGAAGAACCTAGAATATCTTCCATCAGCACCCAAGACTCTGGCCCTGAACAGAGCTAGAGATTTGATGTTAGTTATTTAAACCAGTATAAACGCTTTTGTTTCTATCACTGGCAACTCACTGAATAATCTTAAACTTCAATGTTATGTTGAGGCCAAGAGGGGGACAAAAGGACAGTCAGTGTAGGCAATGAATGGTAGGGTCATGGGGAAGATAGGGGCAGGTTCAAAAGGAAAGGGAGTAAAATGCTAATACCTCCAGAGGCCTTAACCCTCTTCTACCTGTTGCCAAGGTAGCCTGCCTCCAGGGAATTGTTCCTCCCTGCAAGGGGTTATTAATTAATGTTCTCTGGTCCACTTCCTTCCTGCCGATACCAGATACCCCTGGGTGGCTTTGTTCCTGCCCTTGGATCATTCTACCTTTTGGCCCACCCTATGGTCGCTAGTCACATAGTCAGGATGGGGGAGGAAAGACATGAGAACAAAAGAAATCTAAAAGGTATAAAAGGGGCAGGACACCCCCACTTCCTCAGACACTCAGCTCTGTGGCCCCTTCTCTTTGGAGAAGTGTATCTCTATTGTATCCTTTAAATAAAACTTGCTTTCTACACTTGCCTTGGTGTTTCTCGGGTGTTCAATCTTCACATCAGAGAAATGGGACTCCACTCTGATTCTCATCACCGGTATCAACAACAGCATATGTTTGGATATCTGTGTTTTAAGACTTGTGAAACAGAGTGCTTAGATAACATTAGAATTATGAAGAAAATAGTATAGTACCATTATTCTCCTGAAAGTAGTTCTAAAACACTTGAATGTAATACTACAACTTGCAGAATTACATCTAGAGCAATTTATTTTAAAGGCAGAACAAACAGTGGCTGTTTGGGAATTCAGTTCCAATTCTCCACTTCAAATCTGCGTGTAACACAAGGCCTTCTGCTAATCTGCTTGTAAGCATCATCCAGTTCATCTCATGATGCCACCTTCTTTACATATCTTGAATCAAGAAAATAATGAAAGAGCTTCATTCCATTTACCATTAAAAAATTAGTGAATACCCTTTATTAACATTCTTAGTACTGTATATCGCTTGTATGATTATTTATTACTATTAGTTATTCTTAGAGTTCATTCAAAGTCAATAATATATAATTAGAAATTAAAGCATTTTAAATATGAAAGTATCTTTAAATAGATACTTTCATAAGACGTTTGTGTGAAAGGACTTAACACTGGAAAGGCATTTGTTTGCTGGATGATATGAACACCTGGCTTTGGGTTTGCACCATGGCCAGATAAACCACTCTTTCTCCCAAGCGGGCTCGACGTGTTCTGACACATAAATCTAAAGAGATGCCCTCTGTCTCCTGCCTTCGTAAGTCAATGAGTTCTACAGTTGTGATTTTCTACCCAGAACCTTGTTTTTCTAGGGAATTAAGGTCACTGCCAAGATTCAAGTGACTACTTCTTTTCACTGATTTAAAGCAGGATTTCTTAAAGCCCAGGGAAGGTGAGCTCCCATCCCCTTTTACCAGACTTTTAAAGTAGTATATTTGAGGTTTAAGCTGAAATCTCAAAGGATCTCAGAACTGGAATCTTTTATTTTTCCTACTGGTGCACAATGCTCAGTATGAAAAGGGAGAGATGTCCTTTTGGTGAGCTAGAGAAAAAGGAATTCCCACCTTACTTAACAGTAGTGATTAGCTAAGGACTCACCCTACAGGTTCTCTTCAGAGTCATAAGGCAGTGTTTTTGCTGATGTACCAAAAAAATGTCTTTTAAAAACTGTTTTTAGAATGATAGTTAATATATTTAATTATAAATCTAAATAGCTGCAAAATATACTGTAAAAATAATAAGTCTGTTACAAATATTGGTACTTACAAAATAAAATTGTTACTTTAAGGCATTTTATGATTGTAAAAAAACATGCATTATGTGGTATAGTTCTTGTGGATTGAATTATTATTACAGTAGTTATTGCTATTCTACTATTTGAAATAAAATATATATGTTATGAATTTTGGTAAATGATTAGTAAGCATAAAAGTTTAATTCTAATAATAATGCATTCTTGATGAGATGAATCAATTTATTTTTCTTTGCATTTAGTGAAAAATAAAGGTAGAGTAAAAAATAATTGGTTTGTAGAGGGATCTTATTTACTTTGTATTACTTGGAGACAAAAATAATAAATATTTTAAGATGAAGATTTTACTGAATTGTAATAAACATTTAAAAAGCCTCTAATAAAATCAGTTTAACTGCTGCATTGAATAATATGCACCAAAGAGAAAGGTCTCATTGAACTTTTCTCTAGTATACTAGATAAAAGTTACCCTTAAAGAACTTCCCTAAGCAGCACTGCCTTGCCCGTTTTAAAGATTCTCTGCAGCTCACAAGGCCTAGGCAGACACTGAGAAGAGCCTTGAATGCATTGGCCCAGGGCGGTCCCCAAGAGTCAGCCTCTCTCAGGAAGCTTTGTCATTCTTTCCCCAAGCTGCACTTCCACTGCATACTTCAACAAGACTATGGCTAGAAGAGGAAAG